AATATCATTATTTTTCTATGTATTCATGCAGTAGATTACACAAAAAAATTTGAGATTACCAGGATTTTTTATGTATTGATATTAAAAGATTTTGTTTTGTAATATTCATATTATTTAAATAAATCGAAAAATTTTTGCCCTGAATTTATATAATAAATTAGTGCTGATCTTATCTGAATCATCAATTAAACTGAAAAAATAATTTCATAAAATTAAAATTTAAGATCAAGATACAAATAGATTATTTCTAGAAACTCTTAGCAATTATGTTCTATTTAAAAATTATAAATTAAGAATATTGCATTAGTATCTTTTTTATAATTAATGACTATGAGTAATTATATGTCTGATAAATAAATTTTTTAATATATTTTGAATTAAGTATTTGAAAATTTGAATCTAATTAAAAAATTAATTGTTTAAATGTCAAATTTGAAAGATTGTAAATAGCTAAGAATTACATATAATCCAATTTATAAGATGCTAATATAATTCAAAATAATATGATTTTTTATGATAAATTTCTTTAGAAAGATATTTTTAATATTTTGATTTTAATTTACCTATTTTTTTTTTAATAAAAATTTTATTAGATTTTATTTTGTATAATTATAAATTAATAATAAAAAATTTACTTACATTAATATCCTTTTATTCTTAAATAATTTTATATTTACTTATAAGATAGTTAGAATAGTTACTAGTTTATATTCCTATTTTATAAGCTTTTTCACATTTTTCTTTAACTGCTTCTTTTACTTTATAAATTACATATTATACTCCTTTTCTAAAATTAGGTTCAAAATATTTTCAAATCTAACTTCTAATTTTACTTCATTTAACTTTATATTTTTTTAGTTTAGTTACTCAAATTCAGTATCACTATTATTATTATGAATTTTTTTAATTTCAGTTATTATTTATTATATTATTATATTATCTATATAAAATATAAATAAAAATAATAAAAATAAATTACACATAATTTATTTTGCATTTCTTTTATATCTAAATGTATTATATATTATATTCTTTAATTTTTTTATATAGTAAATATATGAATTTATTACTGCTGATTAGAAAACTTTAAAACTATATAAATTTTACTAGATTGAATAAATTTATATAGATGATTTAATGAAAATTTAGTCAAAATTTTGTAATATGTATATCATTCATTTAAAATAATTTAATCTAGATTATAGCTTATATTTAGATTTTAACAGAATGATAGAATTTCAGTTGATTAGATCATATCTCTAGTTGACCTGAATTTATTAAGTCAGATCATATCCTGACCTGACATTAATTTAAAATCTACTGATTTGATCTGAATTTTTAAGTTAGATTAGATCATACAATACTTTTTATCACTACTGTATTAATATATTCTTAAAAGTGATATAAGAATGATAAATAAAATGTTTACTGTATTATTAATATAAATTATAATAATTTCAATTATATTATTTATAAATATCTTTTATTAAGATTCAAAAAGTTTTATATTTTGATATTTTAGAATATTACTTGATTTATTAATAAATTTATAAAATGTGAATTCAAAAATTAAATTAATTTTTCAAATAAAATTACAAATAAATAAGGTTTTATTTTATTATTTAAAAAATTTTAAATTGTAAGTAAAAAACCTTATATGTTTACTAAAATATTTGCATTTTTTTTTGATTAATTTATCAATTAAAATTATATTTAATTATATCTTTTATATAAATTAATAATTATTTTTTTAAATGATTTGATTTCAAGAAAAAGAGTAATATAATCTATAATTTTGTACTATTTATATCTGTAAAATCAAATAACTCTTATTTAAAGATAATGCTACAACTAGTTGCAATTATGTAATGCTTATTTGTTACTAGTTACATGTAGTTGCAACTTAATTTTATTAATGTTACAACTAGTTGTAATCCTGTAATGCTTATTTATCATCAGTTACAACTAGTTACAATATCTTTATTCTTATTATTTTGTATCTGCAAGTAAAGATACTATTATTATATAATTTACTATATTTTAAATAAAAATAATAGTGAATTTAACTGATTCTTTTATATAAATATTTATGTTTACAATAAAAATTGTTATATAAAATCTTATTTGTAAAATAAATTTTTATATATTCAACTCAAAAATATATTTTTATATTAAATATATGTTTTAAATAGATTATCTGATAGATAAGCTAAATTTTTATTTCTTTTTCCAAATATTTTTAATATAATATATTATAAAAATTAACCTAAAAAAGTTCATAAAAAATATTAGAAATTTTGGACAAAAAAATCAATATTACAATAAATTGTTTTAGAAATATTATATTAATATTAAATATTTATTAATATTACTATTTTTATTTTTTTTGTGCAATTAAAGCTATTAAAATAGATTTTAGGATTCAGTTGGTAAAGAAAATAAAGAAATATTGAGAATTAAAAAAATTAGTTAATAATAATATAACCTTAGAAATATATAAATATTTCTAAAATCTAACAAATATACATTAAAATACAGAATAAATAAAGAATAAAAAAGAAAAATTAAAAAATTAGAAAGGCAAATAACTAATAGTAATAATAAATCACTAAACTAATTGGATAATATAGATAGTAGTTAAAGTGTTTATTATTGAATTAATTACTTATTTACTAATAATAAAGAACAAAAAAAAGACAATAATATTGTAATTAATTTCACTATTTTAGCAAAATATACAAATAAGTTACATCAGCAATTTAATGCAAAGAAAACTAAATTATCTTAAGATAAAATTAGTATTACAAAAGATCTACATAATTATTTGAGAGTATCTTTGAGAATTAAATCTTATTGAATAAAATTAAAAATCTAAATACTTTTACATTTTATTATTAATTTTTATTTAATTATAATTTTTATTAATTCTTATTTCATCTTTACTATATGCAATTTAAATTTTCTATTTCTTTTTAAATTAATATGTTTCAAAAGTATTAAATTTTAATATATATTATCAAATATAGCATATTTCGCTATTTAATCTCAGGAGTATTAGAAATAGTGATAAAGGAGTAAAAGCATTGATTACATTCTCTTTGTGCTCTTATGATGCTTGAAATTTTATTATTAAGTGACAGCAATGTATACTATATTAAGTGAAAAATATAAATTTTAACGTTAATAAAAATATATGACAAACTTGAAGAATTCTTCCAATAATATAAAATACAACCTGAAGCCCAAGTAAATTATTAATGAATATTAGTAATAAGTCATTTATTTCTGAAGGAGTTTTTAGCACATCTAGTGTTGCCATTTTCATAAAAAAATAAAATTTTAAATCAGGATCATATGATAAAAAATAAATAGACTAATGATGACCTAAGGATTTTGTTAAGATAAGATGAACATGAAATGAATAAAATCAATCACTAAAATTTATATATTTTATACTAATGACTTAAATTCTAATAGTAAAAATATAGGGTTAGATCAGTCTAATTTAGTCTAGTCCAAAAGACCAGTCTTCATCTTTTTTAGGACTGGACTAGTCTATAAGTTAATCCTAAAACTGGTCTTGCATTATTCAGTCCTACTGATCAGTTCAGTCTAAAATATTATTTTCTTTTCTATTCAGACTAGAATTGATTCTAAGACCAGTCTCAGTCTTACCAGTTCAGTCCAATTCAATATTTGTTTCTTTCTTAATCCAGATTGATTTACAAGAATAATCTAAGAATCGGTATAGAATATATTAGAAATAAATATTCATCTATTATATACATATTTAATAATATATAAAAAATATAATAATAATTGTATATAAAATGATTATTACGTCTTTGTTAATTTTGTTATTTTTTCATTTTTATTTAGAATATTATCATTATAATAAAATATTAGGACAGATCTAAGAATTTATGAATCAGTCTATTCTATAAGAGAGATAAAAATCAGACTAGGTTAAATCAACTATAATTTTGTAATATTTTATAAATAAAATAAATATTTTATAATATTAATCCTTAATTTAAATAATATATGTTATAAATAATAAAGGACCGATCTGGACCAATCCTTAGAATAAGGACTGAGGACCGCAAGGATCAGTCATATTAACTAGTTTAAGACTAGTCTTACCAGAACTAATCTATCTCTACCAAACACATGTTTAATTTAATGAAATTTCTGTTTAATTGTACGTATTCAGCATTAATTTTTTTTTATTTTTGAGAATTAATTATATTACATTTTCTTTCAATCCTAAAATTTTTATAAACAATTAAGTCTAACAATAAATTTACAAACACTGAATATACAGAAAATGTTTGAGGTAACATACCAAAATAGTTTGAATTGTCCAATATTAAATTTTTGCAATAAATCTTCAAATAATGGATCTAATATTATTAATATATAATCGCGCTCTCTAAATAGAGTTATTAAAATATTGATCTCGCAATGATAGCATTTATGATTACAAAAAAATAATTACTTTAAAATATAATAATATTATACTAACATCTTAAATCATATAACTTATAAGAAAGAAATTATTTCAAATGTCAATGTAATATCTTCAGAATCAAATGTTGCAAATTTAATTTTTCACTTTTGTAAATCATTCAAATTTCTCTGTAATATTAATATAATTTTTTTACTAATCATATTATTACATAATAGATTTACAAATAACAAATACAACATTATTTATTATCAAATTGTTTGATAAATCATTGATAAACTTCAAAACCTTCTCATCTATTTATTCTGTATCTAATTTTTTATTAAACGATTTTATTAATGCAGTTTTATCTTTGAGTTTTAATATTCTGAACTACTCTAGCTTTATCCAATTGGTAAGGTTAATAATACGAGACTCAATTGATCTATAATTACAATATGTACTAATTAACATTAACTAACAAATTATCATCTTCAACTAAATCATTAAGAGTCATATTAGTATTATACAAAAGACTTATTATACTCTAATATTATTCTTTTCTAATCACTCTATCTCTATATTCCAAATCTCCTTCAAGTTTTTTGAGATTATTAATTGTTTTATCTATAAATACTATCAAAATAATTATCAGGAACTTAATAAAAGAGTTGGATTTAGTAAGATCAAAGTAAACCTACTGTATCATTTATTATTTTTTCGTATAAAATACTATTATTCATATTTTTATCTCTGACTTCTAATATAAAATTAATAGTAATAACTTTATCATTAAAGCTCTCTGCATTTGATATTGCTAAAAATTGATCGCTTTCAATATGTTTGTCATTATTTTGAATTTTCTGATCATATAAGTATTCTGCAATTATTTCAGATCTATGAGATTCATATGATGCCTTCACAAAGTTGATTTCTTGCTTATTCATAATAATCTTAACCTCTAACTAATTATGAACAAGTTCTATTAGAACTGCTGAATAGTTGTAGGAATAAATCATTTTAGACCTACCTTAAAATTATAACATTTTATTATTATATAATCTATTTCTGATATTTAGAATCATAATTAAAAATATATAAGAGTTATTAAAATTAGTATCACCTATCTCCAGTCAAGTATGAATTACTTTATTAAAAAATTTTGTATATCTGAGTTATTAATTTTATGAGTTTGATTGATGATTAGTAAAACAATATGTTCGTTCATCCAAGATTTATAGTAAAAAGCATAATAAAAAAAAATCGCATATAGGAAGAACAGTAAGTATACTGATTCTCTTAACTCAAGTAGTAATCTGATAAGATTTTTAAAAACTCCCTAGCATTTGTATACTCATACTCTATATCTTAGGTAGTAACTTGGTAAGAGATGCCTTTCTATCAAAATTGAACATACTCACCTTAGAAACTTCATAGCCTTTAGTTTCTACTTTGAACTTAAAGCATTTCAGCTAAGTGTTAACAAGACTCTTAATATCATTGGTGTTTAGTTGCAAATTAACAATCACTTCAAAATTTGAGAAAAAGAAATCAAGAAAAGACCAGTTAGACAATTTCCTGCTATTGAGGTAGATGATGATTTCTACAAGAATTTTAAACATAGATTAACTTGAAAGTAGTTCTCTTATATTATCTGACTATTTGTACTTACACCTTCTTATCTAGAATATAGCTTATTAGACATTGTTGTGATAACAAATTTAAGTTTTGGTTAATTAACTGTAATATAAATTTAATTTTTTATTGTAATATCTATAATTTTCATAAATATAAATTACGTGATTATTACATAATTGATTTTGTTAGTTATAATATTTAGTTTTGTATAACAAAGTATATGATATATTTAGGAATTTAAAACATTAATTTGAACATGTTTTTGCCAATTTATATTTTCAAAATCATACTAAATAAAAAACATTTAATTCATATAAATTTTGTGCTGATGAAATACAAAATAATATCTTACTATTATGGGGGTGAGCGCACTAGTATCTGTTTAGTTATTTACACAATAATCTCATGCCTATTAATGAATAAATATTTTAATTAGTACCAAAAAAATCTGTGCAGAAATTAAACCTTTTTATCATTACTTATTGTCATCTTCATTATAATTGTATTATCTATATAATTTAGCTTAATTATAATTACATTGTGAACTCCATTTGAAAGAAGCCAGTAATTCTCGATTTTATCTTTGAGTTTTTACTCTTTTTAGGCATAAGTGTCTCTACTATAAGATTAGACCAGGGTTTGTTTTAAAAGCAAATATCACTGATATTAAAAATCAATACAATAGCATCAACAAGAAAAAATAAATAGTTAAAAACATTTTATACCATTTTATCATATCTACCACTAAGTACTTAAAGCTTTCTATAAGATCGAAATAATGCATCTGGCTTTTTGCTTCCTTCATGTGTTTTTATTGCTACTAAATAACAATAATAAGTAATGGAATCATACTTAGAATAAGGAAATAATAAACAAAAATACTCACTTGTTATATCAGAGAACCTAATATTAGCAGAAATATTCTTTATGAAATTAAATACTATGACAAATTATAGTAAATGTCCTTATAATTGTATGGATAGGACCTTCGTAAAAGTCTGAATAAATTTGATAATACAAATAGTTCTATTCTTCCACTTCTAAAAATCCTTCACATTATGTTTATCTATTTGAAAAATATAATCATCCAATGTAAAGTATATTAAGCAAGAACGATGATTTTCTGTGATGATAAAACCAAATTCTGTATATGATTAAGCAAAATTCTGTGATATCATGTGATACCAATTTTGATACATTCTGTTTTAATTTGATGATGATTTAAATCAATTTGATGATTTTATGTGATTTATTTTAATTATAAATAAATAATATAGTTCGCTTTAAAATCAATTATTTTTATTAAAATATAACATATTTAGTCTTTTTAATGATTCATATGATAGATTTTAACAATCATTATTTAAAAATTATTGTACAAAGAAAATTACACTCTACACTACAAGTAGAAATCAGAAGCCAAATATAATCCAATGCAATTTTTGATAAAATTGGTAAGTTAAATTGCATTCCCATCCAAAAACATTAAGGTCAATATATTCTTCAATTAATTCATTTGTTAATCTACAATAAATTGACCATTCTCTCAATAGTTTATTTAATAGATTAGAAAGTTCTGTAATTACTGAATATTGACAAATATCTTTAAATAAAATTCTCATTTTAATATATAATGGATCAAAAATACAAGCAGCACAAAATAAAGATCTTGTAGGATGTTGTAAAATATGCATTAAAAATTTATTGTATACAACAATAAATGCTGATCAAAAACTATTATAAATATCCCTTAGGTTAAAGTTAAATTGTGTAATAAGATAGTATAAATCAGATCCAAAATCTTGTGTTATAAAATTTTCTTTCAAATAAAATGTAAGTTGTTTAAGATAACCTTCAATAAATGAAAAAATTGGCTTATTTTATTGCTAGAAAAATCCAAATCCCAAACAAATTCTTGTCTATAAAGTTTATATAGATTATAATTATTCCTCTTTTTTATTCATCTTGTAAATTTCATTAATTGTAAAAATTGATAAATACTTTATATTACTTTCATATTCTTCTTGATAAAAAGAAGGCCAATAATCAATATGATCTTTAACATAAAATATCATATTAAACTATGAATTCTAATGCGTTTTGCTTGGTAATAAAATTTTACAAGGATTTTCAATTTCATGTATTTTAAAATGAATTAAGTAATACCTTTTTTGTGCTGATACATTTATAAATGTCTCCTTAATTTTTGATAATAATAATTTTAAAAGACTAAAATCTGGATAAGTTCTTTAAGTATTACTATTAAAAAAAATATATATATTAATAAAAATTATTATAAATATTAAATAAAATTTTAAATAATTTAATAAATTTATTTATATTTATCTAATGAGATTTAAAATATGAGCTAAACATAGCATATGAATTAATTATGATATTATTAGTTTTAAAACTTCTCTATAGCATTTTTCATGTATATTGCAGAATCTAAGAAATAATCTTGGTAAAAATTAGAGAATATTATAATTAGTTAAAATAGTTAAAAGTGTTTCTTTTATTGTTAAATTATTGATATAATTTAAAAGTCAACTGATACAAGTTTTGTATTTTGACGAAAAGAAAAAATAACACTTTTTGAGCAATCATCTATAGCCTTATCTATTATTATTGCTACAAATTTTTGATTAAAATAATTTTAAAGTAAAAAAAAATGTTTATCAAAAATATTAGATAAATATATTTGACAAAGAATAGGAATTTAAGGAATTGCACTTTCTTCTCTAAAGTGCTTTTTAAAAAAAAAAAAGTTGATTTACTTTTTCTAAAGGAATATTTGCAAAGAAAAAAGCTTTAATTAAATCCTCTATGATTTCTCTTTTAGATTCAAGTATATTGTTAATTATAAAAAGAGTTACTTGTTTTTTTTTATTCACTACTTTTATAACTTTGTTTTTTTTTTAAAATGTTCTTTTAAAAGATAATGTTTATTTACAGTAGATTTTGATTTTCATTCAACTGAAAAGTTATAAAAATTGTAAAACATAATATTTTCATCCTTTCTAAAAATACTAGAATGTTCATTAATATGAGTATTTATAAACATTATTTTTACATGTTTCTAACTTAATTTGTAAAACAAATATAAAATACAAACTTTGATTATTGATCAAAATTTGATCTTATGAAAATAACGTGATTTTGTAATTTCTATTATGAAAATTTTGGAATTTTAAATTCTATAACATTATATGATGATTAAAATAAATATTATAGTTAGATACATTTAAGAAAAATTTTGTAGTATTCTGTAAATCACAGAAAATCATTATTTTTGATATTGAGTTATTAAAACAAATAGAAGATTTACTTTATTTCATTCTATTTCACTTTTGGATGAAAGTTTCTAGTTTTTCACCAGAGCTGATAAAATCTTTCAGCTCTTCTGATTCTGAAACATTATAGGAGGTCAAAGCTATCATATGGGGCCTTTGCAATAGAAAGGGAGGAAACTCCAAAAAAATTAAAATTTTAGTTTATAAACTAAAAATGTTTCAAATACTATAATTTGTTCAGATTTATTATTAACTCATTTTTTATTTTTTTTTGAGTTTCCTCCCTTTCCATTACAAAGACCCCATATTGCTTCTTCTCTTTAATTAAGTAATCCTTCACTATACATTATTTTTCTCTTTTTCTCTTTATAATTTATCTAATCTCTTTCTTAAACTACTTCAAATTTTTTTTAACCTCTCTTTTATAATATTAAAATCATTTATTTAAGGTCTAACCTAATCAATTATATCATAGAAGTTTATTTAGTATATAGTTTACTAATATTTAGATTTGATTTCAAGCTAGCTTAACTAGATTATATTTGAATTTCTATCAAATTTGCTCACTTTAATCATAGTGAATAATATTTACTATTTTTACATAATTATTAGTTATATCATTTTGTAAGATTTATCTACTGAGATTTAAATGATAAATTCCAATATATAATGCTTTATATGACTTAATAGATTAGGAAATTTCTTATAAAGTGATAGATTAATACTATAATATACAATGCAGATTTTTGATTTTTTGGATAGTTATTATTTGTAAAATTAAATTTTTATTAGCTAACAAAATATAATGGAATATCAAAATTCACCAGATACTTAAAATTAAAAAATTGATAAAAAAAAGTTCTTTCAAATTAAATTATTTATTTTATTAATTAAATCAATTTTTATGAATAAGTAAATATGTGTATCATAATAAAATACATATGTGTTAAAGTTTTTATAGATATCTGATCAGTAGTAAAATTTATATTATATATTTAATATAACATTTTCATATATTAATACAAGATTTAAGTCATAATAAACCATTGAATTTTTTAGTTATAATCTATTATATTTCATTAATTTAATTTGTTTATTGTATTAAAATATTTTTCTCTAATTGGTTTTAATTATTTGCATTTATACATGTGGAAATCAAACCAATAAAGTCACAAGTCACGTGAAATGCTAATCTTTTAAAATTTTATTAAAATTTTGCATTTTATCAATTCGATTATCACAAATATAAATGTAATTAGTATGAATATATATTTATTAATACGAAGAACAAGTTTAATTAATAAATGAAAATAGATTACTATTAAAAAATTTTATGTTTAATTAAAACTAAGTACTTGTATTAATACATGAAAAAGTTATATAAATACTGAATATAAAATATGTTACCTATTGGATATTCATAAAAATTTTAATATATGTGTATTTTGTTAAATTGCATAACTTAACTTATTGCATCAAAGATAATTTAATTAATAAAATAAAAAGTTTAATTTGAAATAACTTCTATCGTTGATTTTCTAATTTTTAAGTACCTAGTGATATTCACTGTATATATGACAGAAAAATGATTATCAAAATATAGCATGATTGACCGATGTAAAAAATTCATTTTTTTGTATCATAGATTTTTAAATTTGATAATTGAGCCAGCGAGCCGATTTTTTCGAAGTAAATAATTTATCAAAGTAACTTTTATTTTATTTTTATTATTTATTATGACCACTTTTGTAAGTAATTATTCAGTATTAATCATACGTTGATAAGGAATCTATTGTTAAAATTTATTAAGTTTTTTATTATAAATTTTTTTCGTTATACTGTACTGTAAATATATTTACAAACGGTATAAAATGGATTTTCATCGAGAAGCATAAGAAATTATTAAAGAATGCTAACACCAAGCATAATTTTCATTTAAGATCCACTCCACATCATCATTAAATCCTTTGTCATTATTATACCAGGCTAATGATGGAAGAGATTTTGTTCTTTCAACTAATTCACCTCCTTCAATAATTATGGTATCAGTAAATAATTTTAAATTTGGATTCCAAACTGTAATCTTTTTAAAATTATAATGACTAGCATATAATTTTGCTCGTTTAATTAACGATTTAGTTACATTAGTATTTAAAGATCGAAATCTCAATATTTGAAGAATCTCTTCTTGGAAATTATAGGTCCAAATAACAAATCCAATAATTTGATCATCACCATTTGCTAATTTAACACCCCAAATTTTAGGTTCTCTCAATTTTTTTTGACTTTTACATAAAAATTACTTCTCGCGAATAACCATTCAAAACATTCAAATGTTGGCAATACGACAGCTCCATATTTAGCAGAGCTAACAACAATTTCATTTTCTATTAAAGAACAATCATATTTAGTTAAATCTTCAACATCTGTCCAAGATAATGGTATTGCATTGGCAATATCGGAGGTAATATCATTCAAATTCTCATTCTCATTCTCAATATTAAATTGGATTTCTTTGTGCCCAAAAACTTTCCAACCAAGTCGGCTATAAAATTCTGTTCCAATATCACTATACAAAAAGCTAAACCCAACTCCTTGGAAATTTTCTTTTAATTTTTTTCCCAACATTTCCATCATATAAGATGCGTATCCATTCTTCCTATGTTCAGGTGGTGTAAAAACTGAGGCTATACTATAACAATATAGTTTTTGTGAAGGTTGAACGAGCGCTGGACGTATAAATGTTTCACATGATGAAAGAATGTTCGTTGTTGTCTCGGGCGTTGATCGAGGAACTAGGATCCAAACTGTAAAATTTTTGGATGTAAATGGAAGAGAAGAGAGTAGCCTTTCTCGGGAGAGATATTCTTCTAAAGTTAGATGTGGTGCACCCCATTCAACAAAAGAATTACGGTTTGTTCTATAATTTAAACTAAAGTTAGGATAATAGTAATTTTAAAGCCAACTATTTGCTCGATCGAAATTACATGATTACTTGTTCCGGAGTTGCTTCAATTAATATTAGTTCTGATAAATTATAAGTAGAAACCATGACGCTTCATTTATAATAAAAAATTTTACATCAGCTTAATAATTCGACATAATAAATCATGTGATTTTAATCATGATTTATCGTTATAAATTCATTTTTGTAAATTTTTTTTTTGATAATAAATTTGACAAAATGCAATATAATCCCGTCATTATCGAACAACTTATGTAAATTATTGTAAATTTTTTTATATTACTTCCATTGGATTTATACTGATCAAGTTTTATTTTACATTTTAGTCTTTGTTGCCAATGTGGAATAGCAATTGCTCCCAACCCTTCGAATATGTGCATTAATTGCATTCGTAATGAAGTTGACATTACCGAAGGGATTCCAAAACATGCTACTCTACAATACTGTCGAAATTGCGAAAGATACTTGCAACCACCAAATATTTGGGTTTTAGCAGCATTAGAAAGTCGTGAATTATTGGCGTTATGTCTCAAAAAATTAAAAGGTTTAAATAAAGTACGATTGATTGATGCTGGCTTTATTTGGACTGAGCCTCATTCAAAAAGGATTAAAGTTAAATTAACAATTCAAAAAGAGGTTTTCTATTGTTTGCTAATTAACTTTTATAATTAATTATTTTGTGATGAAATTAGAATTTTTATTTTTATTTTTTTTGATTTAGGTTTTTGCATCAACAATTCTACAACAAATTTTCGAAGTAGAATTCGTTGTTAACTACCAACAATGTGATGATTGCGCACGTATAATGGCAAAGAATATGTGGCAATCGATGGTCCAAGTCAGACAAAAAGTTAATCACAAAAAAACTTTTTTCTTCTTGGAACAACTTATTCTTAAACATAATGCTCATAAAGAAACTATTAACATCAAAGAGGTCAAGGATGGGATCGATTTTTTTTATTCTAACAGATCTCATGCTATCAAAATGGTAGAGTTTTTAGGTGCTGTTGTTCCTATTAGGTAAAATAATTCAAGTATTTTAATGAATAGTTATCGAATTATTAAATCCGAATCTTATAACTCTATATTTCAGGACAAAGAATTCCGAACAACTTATATCAACAGATATTCATAGCAATACGTCAAATTATAAGTTTTCGTATTCCGTTGAGATCGTTCCTGTATGCAAAGACGATCTAATCTGTTTACCAATCAAAATTGCGCGTTCATTAGGAAACATAAGGTTTGATGAGTATTCGTAATTCATTATAGTTAATTTTATTGAACTCTAATAATAATAATAATAAAATGTTTTGGCAGCCCTTTGGTGATATGTTATCGTGTCGGTAATTCCATTCATGTCATGGATCCGAATACTTTGGCAGGTAACGATGATTTGATGATCTAGTAAATTTATTTATTTTCAATAATTTACATGCGATATTTATTTATTAGTTTCAGAAGTTGCAACTTCGACATATTGGAGAAATCCATTCATATCTTTATCAACAACGAAGAATTTGGTAGAATATTATATTCTAGACGTTGAACCATTAGGGCCGAAGCGTGGCAAAGTAAATAAATATTAATTTCAATATTAATTGTAATATAATAATTGATATTTTGTTTTACTCGATAGTATATTCTTGCAGATATCCAAGTAGCGCGGTCATCGGATTTTGGAAAAAACGACAAAACATTTTTTGCACGTTCTCATCTCGGTGGAATTCTTAACGCTGGAGACACCGCTTTAGGATATGATCTTACATCCTCCAATTTTAATGATTACGCTTTCGATACACTCAATAGAAATTCTCTTCCTGACGTCGTATTAGTCAAAAAATCTTACCCGCAAAAACGCAGGAAAAATAAGCCTCGAAAATGGAAGTTAAAGTCAATATCAAAAGAACAAGAGGAAATGGCATCTAGAAAACAAGATGCAAATAAAATGGAAGAAGATTATGAGTCGTTTTTGCAAGATTTGGAGGAAGATCCAGAACTAAGACAAAATGTTAATCTATATAAGACCAGTCCTTCAATGGATATAGATACAACAGCCGAAGAAAGTACAGCAGAAGAGGAAGATTTTCCTGAAGTAAAATTAGAAGAGTTGTTAGAAGATCTTACGCTTGAAGATAGTACTTAATAATGATATAGTTTTTTCCAAAGAAATTAATTTACAATAGTTCGATTTGAGTGATTATGAACAAAATAATGCTCATGTTGCTGTGTGTATTGTTTTTTATGTAACTGAAGATAAAAATCGTGTTGTTTGTATAATAAAAATGCAATATCACTTTTTAAATATTTAAACTGTAAATGCAAATTTTTTCCGTTTCACGTGAACTCAAATAATATGTCATCCGTGTATTCCAAGCAATGTTGGACCAAATTGGACTAACTGGACTTATAAAACTAGACCATTGGACTTATAATTCCAGTAACTGGACTTATAAAGTTGGTTAACACCGATTTCAAGTTATATAATGTCGGCTAAATATCATGTGGTATGAAAAACTGATTGTATATCTGAGCATCCTTAGAATTGCCCAAATTTTTGATTCCAAAAGTGTTTATTTGAAATGATAGGAATTATCATTTCAAACAAATGATATAAAAATTGTTCATTTGGAATGATAATACATTGTTCTAAAAGAACGATAAAAATCATTCATTTGGAATGATAAATACTTTATTCCAAAAGAAGGATATAAAAAATCATTCATTTAAAGTAATAATACATCATTCTAAATAAATGATAAAGAATCATTTAATTGAAATAATTAAATTATCATTTCAAATAAATAATAAAAATCATTCAATTGGAATAATAAATATATCATTTCAAAAGAATGATTATTCTAAACAAATGATAAGAAAATCATTTATTTTGAATAATTGAAATTATCTTTCAAATGAATAATAAAAAAATTACTCAATTAGAATGATAATATATCATTTCAAATGAACAATATAAAAAATTATTTATTTGAAACAATTGAAATTATCATTCTAAATGAATGATAAGAAAATTGTTTGTTTAAAATGATAATACATCATTTCAAACAAATGATATAAAAATCATTTATTAGAATAATAATGCATTATTTCACTGATCAAAATCAAAAAAATCAGTTATGCGAAAAATCAGTCTAAAATTGACCTAAAATTAGCAAATTATTAAAATTAACCTAGCTGATTGGCATACATCAGAAAACAATTAAAAATCAGCCAAAATTCAAATTATCTTTTTTATTGCCGATTAGCATACTTATTGCTGATTAGTATACATCAAAAATCAGTTAAAATTCAACTTATCTTATTTATAGCTGATTAACGTCTGATTAGAATTATTGTATCATTTCAAAGATACTATTATTTTACGATACTAATAATAGAAAATTAGTATTAACACAAGATTAATAAAGGATTTAACTTTAATCAATACTTTAGGAAGAGCTTTAAAGGGTTTACAAATAATTATTATTTTAAATGATAATGTATATTTAAAATAAACTTTTAGGATTTATTAAAAAGTAAAGAATTTAATACAATTATATTTATTAATATATAATTGTTATTAGTATTTATTTTGTTAGTGATAAAAATTAATTGAATTTTAATTATTTATAGAATTGTTTGTTAAAATTATCTTGTTAAAATTATCTCCTTAACCAAATTCTAAAGCTATCCTATTTATAATAAATTCACTAACATAAATAAATAAAATACTAATTGATTACAAATAATAAATAATTAAAATATAAAATGATTAGTAATATAAAAGAAATTTTTAGTAACTTTTAGGTCTTCTGCATAATCTTTATTTAATTCATTTCTTTTATCTTTGCTGTCTTCATTATCTAATATAATACAGTTAACATGAATTTTGGTTACATGTATTATGTTGTATTAGCTGATCTTTTGAATTAATATTTTCCTATTACAGTATAATAGTATTATCATTTCTTAAGTATAATATTATTATCATTCCTAAAATATTATGCTTAAGATACAATGGTATTATCATTCTTTAAGTACGATGTATTTATCATGCCTAAGGTATAATATTACCATTTATGTATAATACATTTATCATTCCTTAGATACGATATTCATGTCTAAGGAATAATGATTTTATAGTATCTTAAGTATGATAATATTATCGTTCTTTAAGTATGATATTTATTGTCTTTAAAAAATAATAGTTTATTATATCTCAGATATAATATTTTATTATTTTTTAGGCACAATAAATGCATTGTATCTAAGAAATGATAATACTATTATACTTAAGAAATAATAAATACATTATACATAGTAATATTATACTTAGAGTATGATAAAACTATCGTTTCTTAAGCATAATAAAACATCATACTTGAGGTATGAAAAATGCATTATATATAGTAACATCATTTCTTAGATATAATAATACTATCATACCTTAGGAATGATAAAAATATCATATTTTAGAAATAAGAATATCATTATACCTAAGAAATAATAAATGCATTATACTTAAGGTATAATAAATGTATTGATGATAAAACTATTATACTTAAGGTACAATAAAATTATCATACCTAAGAAATAATAAATGCACCATTCCTTAAGAATAATAAAACTATCATATTTAAGAAATTATAAAACTATTGTTCTTTAGAAATGATAAAAACTAGTATACCTAATATACCTAATATACGATAAAACTATCATACTTAAAGTATGATAAAATTATTATATCTAAAGAATGATAAAAATAAATTATTGTATCTAAGGTATAATAAAATTATTATATCTTAAAAATGATAATACTATTATACTTTAGGAATAATAATACTATTGTATATTAAGAATAATAATACTATTATACATAAAGAATAATAATATTATCATATCTAAGGTACAGTATAATAAAACTATTATTTCTTAAGAATGATAAAACTATTGTATCTAAAAAATGATAAAACTATCATACCTTAGAAATAATAATACCATCATATTAAATAAAAGATATAATATTTCAATCAGATGTCAATCAACTATAAATAAGATAAGTTAAATTTTAGCTAATTTTTAATATA